AAATGCCAAATATAGAAGAACTTGTAGATACAATAGGACAACTTATTTCCGAGAAAAAACAAGGGGAGGTGTACTTTACTACGATGGATCTAACGTACGCGTATGGGCAACTACCGCTTAGTGAAGAAACAAGCGTGCACTGTAACTTTTCTTTGGTGGGCGGACGGTCGACAGGAACATACCGATTCCGAACAAGGTTTTACGGGCTAACGTCCATGCCGGCAGAGTTCCAACGAGTAATGGACTCAGTTTTGAACGAATTCCCAAAAGCGAACGCGTTTATTGATGATATTTTGGTTACAACCAAGGGAACGGAAGTAGAACATATCTCCTTGGTTGAAAAGATCCTCAGGAAACTAAACCACGAAAACATATCGCTGAAATTACCAAAATGCGAGTTTGCGAAACGAGAATGCGAGTGGCTTGGTCATCGTATAACCGAAACGGGGGTTACGCCGCTTAAACGCAAAACATCGCCGATAGACGCATTAAAGACCCCTAAAACAGTCACTCAATTAAAATCATTTATGGGCTCAATCCACAGCTTGCATAAATATTTACCAGCCATAGCGGAGATGTCAGCTCCATTAAGGCCACTTCTCAGCAAGAAAAACGAACATAACTGGACCGCGGAATGTGAAAATGCTTTCCAAAACATTAAATTGGGGGTAGCAAACATAGTTGAATTAAAACATTTTGATATTCATAAAGACATTAGAGTTGTTTGCGATGCAAATCACAATGGCCTTGGAGCGGTTTTAGAGCAATTGGGTACAGAAGGGTGGCGCCCTATCTCTTTTGCTTCACGATTCTTAAACGCAGCCGAGAAAAAATATTCCACCAACGAGCTTGAGATGCTGGCGGTGGTATGGGGGGCCGAGTATTTCAGAAACTATTTTTTAGGCAGATCCTTTACAGTTATCACGGACCATAAGGCTCTAATTTCATTACTTAACGGGAATAACAAGAAAAACAAAACACTCTTTTCAAGACTGACACGTTGGCTAGACAGACTGATTCCTTTTGACTTTGTAATAGAGCACAAACCGGGCGCCAAGATCGGATTAGCAGATTACTTGTCAAGGCATCCTAGCGAACCCCCTAAACCGATAAGTCAATATAATAATTTGTTCACCGTGGCAAAAATCGCTTCAATTAGAAAATCCCTTGGTTTCACAAATGATTTAAAACCCCTTGGTGAACGAAATTATCAGGATATTAAAGAAACTGTTTCTAAACAGTCTAGACGGTTTTCATCCAATCAAAAGCGAGTACAGACAACATGCCTACAAACAGCGACGGTTGAGGGCGGAAAGTCATGCGTGAAAACAACGACCAATAGGAAACGATCAATTTGCATAACGCGTAAATCAAAGAAATCCAAGGGACATTCAGTGTGCTCTATATATTGTTCCCTCGGAAGACGGTTAAATTGGCCTACATCAAATAATTCAAACAAAATGGATAACGACTCTAATTGTTCTTTCCCAGTATTTGAAATTGAAAATGTTGAAAATGTTAGAATTGATTCCCAAACTAACTCTCCGAATATACTACAACCTCAGATCAACTCTCCGCTTAGATTAGATGAAAATCTATTGAGTAGCGATGAAATAACTGTCATTAACCCTGAAATTGTTGCAATTACTAAAAATACACGGGATTCAAAAATTAATACAGTACTTTCTATACCTTCGAAAGTTCCAGGCGAGCTCTTTCCTACCGTTAATCCGAATCAGAAAATTATGTCTATCATTCTTCGTGATTGCAAGGTTATCAAGAAATCCCAAGCGTTACCAGAACTATTTAATTTAGAATTTGTTGCCTCAAACATACCGGCGGATGTGAACTTAGTACGTGTAAAAGAAGCATTGGAGAAGAAGATTAACTTGAAAGAAGAACTCCTGAAGATTGGGAAATACTGGGCCCAATACGCAAACGATTTGTCATTACGGGACGATTGTGTGTGGTTGGATGGAAGGCTGGTCATTCCTTTGCCATTACAAGTCCCAATTGAGTCGCGGATACATTATTACCATCACGGTAAAAGAAACATGTATGAAGCAGCGCGTGACGTCTGGTATCCCTACATGTAGCGCAGTTTGGCAGCAAAGGCCACGTACTGTCAGCAATGCACGGAAGCGGGTAAGAACCTAAAATCGCTATTACCCAAGGGAGATATGGGGAAGGTCCCTGAACCAAGGGAACCCAATGAATGTATACAGTTGGACTTCTGGGGGCCAATAAGTTACTTAAATGAGAGTAAGAAATATGTCTTGGTTGCTACGGACCGCTTCTCAAGGTGGCCATCAGCAATGGTTACTACCACTAACACATCAGATAAAGTCTTAAAATTCCTCGATAAATACATAACTCATCATGGAGTACCTCGGAAAATCCACGTTGATCAGGGATCATGTTTTACATCTAATAAATTTAAAAGCTTCTGTAACAACGAAGGCATCGAGCTAATGTACTCCCCAGTGAATGATGATCGAGGCACGGGGTCCGTTGAACGGACAATAGGAACTTTGAAGAATTTTGTCCTAACATATGCGACTGAAAAAGAGCATAAGTCTCTAGAATCTATGGTCGATAAAGCGCTAGGCGCCCTACGATTTTCCAAAAATGCAACTACTAAATTAACACCTTTTGAAGCTCACCACGGCCGGGAGGCCAACTCCGTTTTACGAAATCTTACGAAAAAACCAAGTTTGAAAAATTTGAATTGGAAGAACGTCTTAAAATAAAAATGTTTGTGTTTAGACGAAAATGATCCTGAGATGAGTAAAATTGCATTCCCTCAGCACTCGATTTGGGAGGAGAGGTCCGATTTGACATACGCTCCAGCTTTAAGAAGGGCCCCTATCATGCTTGATAGCGATCAGGAAATGGACACATGTCCAGGAGAGGTATCGGGAGTTGCCCCGAAAATCCAAGGGAGTGGAGACACTGGCCCTAACATCCAGGGGAGTGGAGGCGCACGCGACCTATATCAGCGTACCACCAGCAAGACCCTAAATTGGTATAAATTATTAAAATCCAATGTAATCTCTGAATCCGAACATACTATCAAGCTAAAAAACGGATCTGTTCTTAGGAAAAGTGCAGTGGCAGTAAAACCAAAACCCAACCTTCCCAAGAAACGGAAGCCGGCTACGCTCAAGGAGATGTTATCAAGCGCAAAGAAAAGGGCAGTCGAGAGCCCGAAGTCAAAGAGAGCAAAGGCCATGCAAAACGTACCAGTAGCCACCTTCCAGTCCGACAGTTCGGATAGTGAACATTACCAGCCATTAAATATTATCCCTGCAAGATTACCGATAGAAGTGTTAGCGAGACACGAAGCGATTGCGGCGGGACAAGGCCCAAGCGGCAGTACAGCAGTAGCAGAACGTGGAACGGGAGCAAAAGCAAAACCAAGAGTGACGAGAGCGAAGCGGGGAAAAGGGGGGGCAAGAAAAACAAGTAAAGGGGAGCCAGGAACGACCGGCATTAGTTGCGAGAGAGTGCCTTGTGAATAGTAGCCAAGAAGAAGAAGAAGACGTTGAATCTGGCAGTCAAAGTGAAAGCTCGGGAACTTGAAGGAGTACTAGAAGAAGAAAGCCAGTAGATAAAATGGGAGGAGTCATGATTGAAAATATCCAGGGGGCGGAACAAAAAGGAAAACATCCAGGGGGAGAAGGAAAATGAACCTTACTTTAAAACTTATTCAAAAACTCATTACCCAGGGAGAGGGATGGCCATAAGCCTAAAACTCAAGTTTGTTGTATCGTTTTAGTTGAGGCGGCAGGTTGAAGGTTTAATTATTATATTAAATTTAAATTACTATGTATTTAAATTTTACATCCATACGCTAATGTCAGGGGCTACAATATGTTCAGTTGTCAATCATCTTAGTTGCTATTCTTTATTTACTTATCTCTGAGATTTCTCATACTATAATTAAGTGTGAGTGTGGTACCTGCCTGTCAATCAACTTAGAACTGTCTAGCTGTTATGTGTTGACCTCTAGTTCACTCTCTTATTTATGCGAACTAGAATACAGTCAAATGAGTATTTAACAGCCATCGTTTTATCATTCCTTGTTAAGTAGAGCATAGATGCGCATTTGGTATTTATGAGACATAGAATTGCAGCATTCATTTTTTGATTTTCGAAAGAGTTTTTGAGAAAATCGATTGACTCTGACGTATGATTAAAAATTGGCTGCTCTATAATATATTTTGCTCTATAAGCCGATTTTTGCAAATTCAGCTGCTACCAGAATCCTTTGGGGCCTGATGTGTCTACGGGGGCATAGAGAGGAGAGAAAATATTTGCCTAACTGTTCTTCCCAATGAGAGCTTTTTTCTTAGCAGTAGTACCGATTGTAGTCAGAACAGCGCAAACCTTTAAGTTGTCCGATGCTCTGACTGAATTATCACGTTTTCTTTCAAATTTTTGAATAACAAAATTGATTGGCTGAACCTCCTTTTTCTCAATTTCTACCACACTATATCTTATTCGAAAACACCAAAAGCTAGTACCGTGACTTTTGATAGCCGAAAGAGCTGTCGTTGCTTTTGTGACAAACAAACGTGGCTGATCAAGTTTGGGAGTGATTTTTAATTATCCGTATTTCGTGAAATATCAAGTTGGCTCTGCGCTGCAACAATCTCCATATTCTGAGCCAAAAACGATGAGTCAAAAAGTGTCTACTCAACCATTTTTCCAAAACATACTTTGAGAGCATATCGATTGTTTTCATTCTGTGGAAAAATGACTCCAAATCACAAAGCCACTTTTTATAATCTTTCGAAATAAAATTTTACTGCGAAACAAATGACCATTGAGGTGAGCTGTGATGAAATGGCTACGTTTTTGCCTCTCAATCGAAAGATAGTTGGTTCGAGGACCAATATAATCCGTGCACATTGCTTAAGGGTGAGGTCAGCCCAAAATGTAACCAAAAAATTACCGTTGATTCTTTCCCAGTGGAACAAAAGTGGTATTGAACCTACATGTATTGCTCTTCTGTAGATACTCCAACTCCATAAATGCAGACCAGATTCACATCAGGGGCAGAATTCAGATCCAGAATTGAGTGAGTGAGTTCGAACACAGTGGGACCCAGCGTGTAGTTTATGTCTTTGAAAAACACATTGTAGTCCAGCACTGTGTAGTTGCGCGTGGGTGTCTGGATTATGGGCTCGCTCTGATCCCAGAAGTCTGGGTTGGGAAGCATCCAGGCCGAGGACGTGTATGACCTCTGGGCGTACTTCAGGGGTTCGGAGGGTAGAATGGGCACTCCGAAGTTGTATCCTGAGGCGTACATTTCGTAGGAGGAAGAGGCTCCGTACATTGGAGTCCCAATGGAAATCCAGCCGGCCAAATAAGTGTTCTTCCACTGCTGCGATTGTTCTTAAAATCAGAAGAAATAAATTTCTCCTCACATTATTTGATCGTTCAATTTTAGTCGCTAAAAATATTATCAATTAAGTTCAGGTTGAAATACCCGAAACAGAACAAAAATAGACCGTATAGCCGCGTTTGAAGCTTTGAAGAAAAAACGTTCTTAAATTTTGAAAAAAAAATATAACTCTGACTCAAATCGCTCAGTCTTGCAAAACAAAACATGCTGTTCGATAGGGTTTTCTCGATCCCAAAAACAAAGAAAAAAGTATGTTTGCAAAAAAATTGAATTCAGTCCAATCGAAAATTGAATTGAGTTTTATCAAAATTGACCTTGACGTTTTTAATGTTGCTGTTGGAAAAATTTTGATGTATCACAGAACAGAGTTTCAAATCATTACGTTCTAGGAAGGCCTTGGTGAATAGTCCTCCCATGCTGTGAGAAATGATGAAGACACTCTTGTTCTGGTTGTCCACAAACATCTGCTCTGTCAGACTCCTCATGGAGTCCAGGACATCCTGTTTCTCGTTGGGACATTTGCGGAAGTCATACGACAAACCCATCAAGTCCTTTCCTGCTTTGTAGCCTTTGTCTTCGAAGTGGGAGATCATTTTGCCGTAGTAGTTGATTACGTCAAACTTATCCAGGTATCTAAAGTCAGCATAAATAATTTAAAGACTCCTGAATGTTATAATGCCAAGGATGTGCAAGTTCCAACTAAGCTCCAATGAAGCTTTCAGAGTACCTACTCGCTTATATTGCGTAGATATTCTGTCGAGGAAGCTTTCGCAAAAGTAACGCGATACAATTTTGAGTCATGCACTACATAAAATCTATATGACTTTACAAAAAATATATATGAGCTGACAAAAAATTCAAATTGAGCTGATTATTAGATATACAATAAAAGCATTTGTGTTTTAAAAAAGTGTTTCACTTAGTGCATCAGCTCTAAATTTCTGGAATTTTTTTCTTTAGGAGTAAAGATTAAAATTGACGTTTTGAAATCTTTATCGTCGCGAAACGAAAAAAAAAATCTGCAAAAAAGTTAGCCACGCGCCCACTACTGCTATGGTAAATTCAAAATATTCAGATGAAACTGTAGAAAGGCAACAAAACTAATAAAAAATGTGTCATCGCCTGAACGACGCTGACCTTATTCCATCTGTGCTTCCGGGCGGGTCCACTTTGATCTGGACTCCAGGCTGGTTGCTGGTTGTGTTGTCAGTCGAGTTGAACACCAGTTCGATATTGTCCAGGAAACAGTTTCTCGGCAGTGGGTTCACAAACACCCCGTACGACATCCAGAACAGGTACCAGTCTGTCTCCTTAGAACAGTACCAGTGATCATTGGGATTCGATGGCTTGTCCAGTTTCGCATACAGTTTTGATCCTCCATCACCTGAGTGAAACTAGGATTATATAGTTGATCATAGTTTGGATTATATTTTCATATTTGGACTTAGACAACGATTAATATTACGAGAACATGAAACCGAACTTAACTTCATATATCGTTTGGTCCAGGTACATAACGCAAAAAAAATCCGAATGTGAACTTTCAAACATTTTCGCTATTGGAACTTCTGGTTTTTGTAGCAACAGGCAACAACTTAAGGTTTTTGCCTACTGTTTTGCCGCATTTTGGAATACGAATATGCTAAATAACAGGGATCATAATAAAACAAGGACAGCCGGATACTGTGCAAATAGCACAGAATATTCCGACCATAGTCTTTAAAAAAATACAGAAAAGGTTTTTCAAATTAGTATCATTTTTTATTCTGCGTGGCGTGATAGAAGGATCTAAACTAAAAACTACAACTTAGGCATATTCGACAGTCAGTAAAATAGGCAAACTGGACACAGTTTTTGTAGAAAAATGAGTAGAAAAACAGAAAAATCATTATAAACATTTAAAAAATCTCAAATTTTTTGCTGAAAAAAATCCAGAAAATAAATTAGCTCGACTGAAACTAAGTTTTCACGGCTTAAATTAAGCATAAATAAGCTATTGTAAGCCTGCTCGCATGCGTTTGTTCGCTCAAAATTAAACTACAAAAATCAAAAGTTTCAAATATATTATTCTCAACTTCTCAAATTTTGTAATGTCATTCGAATCACGACTAAAAGGACTTTAGTATGATATATCACTCGACCCTGCCCAATGAGTACTTTTGGTACCTGATTTTGCGTGGAAAACAAAAAATGTAAAATAACTAAAACACACCCGAATACAAAGCTCCTCCTCATATTCAATGGTCAGAACAAAGATAATTTATGATTCAAGCTTTTGTTAATATTAAGGGAACTTCCCAGATTAGCGTCGCAGAGTAATTCAGTACTTCACCAGCATTATTACAGCAGTAACAAGAAAGTTGCAGCTGTAAAATTGGTGGGCATCAATTTTTTTGCGTCATCTGTTAATAATTTCAATTGCACTTTTTCTTCTTTTTTGCTTCTCACTTTTGCATGTATGTATGAAAGTTTTGACAAACTATTGCTACCGGTTTTTCATGAAAACTTTCTGTACAAATGTTCTGAAGCTTTATCAGTCAGCAGAAAAACATTTTTGCTCATATAATTTATCGCATGTTACCATCGATACAAAAAGATGAGTATTTCAACCACCCTGAAGCGGCAAAACTAGATCTGAGCAATACCAAAAATAAGCTTAGCCTAGTAAAATTTTTAGATTGGGTTTTTTTCCAGCTATTTCAAGTATGTCAACGCAAGCTCATACGTAATCGAGTGATGTATCTTAAAAAACTTTTTAATGTGCCTGGTGATTCTGTTTCTAAAAATTGTTGCAAAAAATATATTTTAGTGTTGAAAACTAGACTATTTTTTCGAGATGGCAAGAACGAACATACAAACTATTGAGTTCGTTACGACAAACCGGGCTAATAGCTTCAAAGTTATAAGACTACATGAACTTATTTTTGTTTTTATTATAATTTTTGGGCTGTAAAAGTCGTCTGATCTTCAGGCAACAAACAAGCAGGAATCATGGTGAGCATTGAAACATTGATCTTTTGTTTGAGAGCTGGAGTTTTAACAATTTTCCTATTTTTTTTTTTACAATTATCAACAAATACTGACAGGCTGCTTGGTGCTCGCTTTATGCTTATCGAGATATGTTTCAATCGTCTCGACCGAATTCGAGTATGTTTGACTTTCATAATTTGTCCTAGTTTTCAAAAGGTTCATAATTGAAAAAAAAATATTAGTTTTTGAATTCGTCTCACCGCGGGACGATTGATATGTTTCGGCCGTACTCGAGCTATGTTTCCACCGTGCTCGAGCTGTGTTTCTACCGTGCTCGATCAAAATTTGGTATATTTCGACCGCGCTCGACCGAAGTTCTATCGTATTTAGGCTGAGCTCGCGATATATTTCGAGTTTGTGCTCGACCTAAGCCCCGTCCTGACTATTCTTTTTTAGTCGAGCAATGACTTGTGCTCGACTTTGAAAGCCGAAATATAGAGTGAACACCTCGACCCGGGTAATGAACTCTAGGTAGAGCAATCTACACCAGACAACGACAAAAGTCGCTCAACTTTTTCCTAACAATGATTTTTGTCGTCATTAACCATTTTAACTATTTCTTGAATGTTTATTTCTATTTTTTATTACAGCAAACAGCTGAAACCTATACACAGTAGAACATTGATGAACAAACGTTCAAAGAAAGTTCAACGATTTTTTTTTTCTATTTTTCACAGCGAGTATTACTGTCGGAACCTTCCAAGGTACATGCTCAGTATGAACATTTAAAGGTAAATATTCGATTCGAACAATTTTTTCTTTTCCTTTATCCTCTCTTTAGAAAGACGTTAAATACTTCACCTGCCTTATTGCTCATTAAAGTTATTGCTCATTAAAGTTATGGTTTAAAAAACCATAAATTTGTTTCCTAGACGTGTCAGAAAAATAATTGATTATTCGTCTGACGTCTTTCTGGAGCGGTGTGGTAGTCTGGTCCGTATTTTTATAGTTTTGTGATTTAAGAATAATGTTAACAAAATTTTCTGAGGTGTTCGCGAGCTTCAACTTCTGTGGTGCAATAATTACATTTTTAAAAGTTTATGGAGCCACTTTTGTTTTATAGTTAGTGCCAAATTTTTTTCACTCCAGCACGTAAAGCAGTGCCAAAACTACTATAAACATCAAAAGGGCCGTTTTTTGAGCAATTAAGTTGCTCGAGATCACCAAAAATGCCCATAATTTGGCTTTAATTACAAAATCATATTATTGTTGGATTGCTAAATTAAGCATTACTTAACAGGGCAACGAGTTGTAATATGTTACTTTATATAGCAGTTGTTCTCAAGTCGCTACAAGGGTTCACTTTGCTTCGCTTTTTTCATAACTGGGTATTGTGTAACCACTGTGAGACGAAAGTCGATAAAAACTAGGGGCGGATCAAAGGGGATTTTCAAAAAAAATTAAAATGTTTTTGACTTTTATTAGGTCGACCAAATTAGTTTTGCGAGCTCTTCTCAAAAAGTAATACATGTTGGCGTCAAAAGTTGGGGTTGAAAAATCGAGGTTAGAGAATAAAATGTAATTAAATTTTAAAGAGTATTCGAGTACCTGGTATGAAAAGCAGGGGATGGGTAACTGTGCCTGCTTGAACAACTGATCCATGCAAACTTATCAAAGCCAACAGACACAAGGAAAGTAACAGAATGTTCCGAGAGGTAAAAGACATGACTTCGTGACCACTCATCCTAGTGTAGGCGAAGACAAACTGTTTCTGATAATTATTCTGCGAGATTAAAAGGCTCTTTTCTACTTTTCTACTTTACATATAGCATCGCGTATAAACACCCCTCAAATCTCGTTTAGCATCGCGTATAAACACCCCTCAAATCTCGCTTAGCATCGCGTATAAACACCCCTCAAAAACACCCGTAGAAGCTCCCAATAAAGTAAGCGTTTTTTCTTATATTGCACACTTAATAGCATCTATGATTATTATTTAAGCATTATTTGAATTTGATGCAGATAAAATTTTGACACACATCATTTTGATCAAACAGGTTAAATAAATCTACATCAGGACTGCTATACAGGTAATTCAACCTTTCGAGTAGCATCCCTTTAGGTTACCTAGAAACAAGCGGTAGGGCACTGAAATTAGGAGTTACCGATGGTAAAACAGCGAAAACATACTTTCATTGTCTATGTGTTAATAAAAAAAATAGAATAAATTACTACAAGCAGAAGCGGAATTAGGGGGGAGGGAAGCGTGAGAGGCGAACGCCCCCTTTCTCAGTGATTCGACACCCTGCCGACCCAAAGGGTACCCCTTTGTACTATTTTGAGATAACTATTTTTGGTGAGGTACCCTAAAATTTTTCTAAAGGCGCCTTTGGCGCCAATATATACTAATATTGAGGGGGAGGGGGGGGGGGGGCGTGGAGGAGCGCGCGTCGAAAAAAAAACGCGATTTTTTGATCAACTTTTTTCAAAAAATGCAAAAAACGCCGTTTTGGCCTGCTTTTTTCAAAATTTTGCCTGCGGGGCAGGAAATTTAGCCAAAGCAAGGTCTTTTCACTGCTTTGGGAAAGCTCGGAAAATCAATTTGGTCGACCTAAAAAAAGTCGACAAAAATTTCGAAAACTTTTTAAAAATCCCCCCCTCCCTTCGAGACAATCCTAGATCCGACCTGACTACAATTATCGTTCTGAAGACGTACTACGATTAAGCTCGACCTATATGTGACGACTTTTTCGGCCAAAAACATATTTGGCCGCTGATTAAGCCACTTTAATCCCCATCCTTTATTTTCAGCCGCAAAACTACTTCCTCGGCTTTAAAAATTTTAATGTGAGTCAAGCACCTCGACCCGTGCTGTTGAGATCTATGTCGCTGCTTAAAATAAGGGTAGAACATCGATTCTGGACGATTAAGTGAGAACTCGAACGACTTAAATCTCCTATTTAAGAACCAGTATAGCAGAATATAATACATGCTTGGCCAGCATGCAATTTTGAGGCTGTTTTTTCAAACGCTTTTGAATGATGGGTGAAAGAAGAAAAGAGTCTTTGAAAATAAGGTTCTTGAAAATTAGTTCTGGTTCAGATAACAGTTGGTTCAAATAGCTAAACAGGTAAGACACAATTTCACCTTAGAAGATGGTCAGTTAGTTAATCGATTGGCAAACATAAATTGAAATCTGATGGTACAAACTTAGATGGATGCCAAACAAAACTTAGCGCTGATTAAACACTGAAGTTTCTGCTATAAGCTCAGCGTAGTTTGTGTTCAAAATGTAGCATTACCAAGATACTTTGTTCTTGGTTATTCAATTGGTATTTATTGTCTCCTGTAACTCGATTCAAGATTTAAAAGCGATCTTTGGCCGTTTGCTGTTCAAAGGATTGATTGAAGCAATTTTCAAACATTTTTTGATAACGAAATTGAGTGTTCTGAAATCTTTCGACTGCTTCAGTAAAAGCAAAAACCAAAAAATGTTTTTGTCTATGGAGCACATAGGCTGCAAAGAAACAAGGGAAATCTACAACTAAAACCCCAGTGTCGATCGAGCCACAAAAAGGAAAAAATCAGCGGCATGGGGTTGCACTAAAATGGAATTTAAAACCTTAAAAAATCAGACTGGTCCACATCTCGCAAAAAAATTCAAAAAAAAATTACTTCCAATTGATAAACTTTCATAGGATTTAAGAAAAACTTCAATTTTTAATGATTCTTTTTTATATTATGTTATTTTGCAAGGGTGGAATTCGATATTAGGTCCAAAAATAGCCTAAGATATGCAATATATGCTATGTTTGGACCGTCTCGACTAAAAAAATCGTTTGGACCATAATAAAGAGTTAGGATGTCCCACTGGTAACTATTGTATCTAACTAAGGTTAAAAGAGAATAAAAGTATTGGTTGAATTAAAACTGACTGTAGTCTAAAAAGAGCAACTAGTGAACCGAAGTCCACTGGACATCGTAGAGTTAACATTGACTGGTACGTAATTAGATAATAGAGGTCAAGGTTATAACATACTAAAAATAATGAATCACAACTTTCCCCACTGCACAAAAATTAATATCTGCCCGCTCATCGATGTAGCCAATATCACATATATACTCCATCTCCCCTCGCTCCACTAGGGCCAAAGAAGAAACAAAACGTAACCACGTTTAGCACCAATGGATTTTTACAGAGAGTACAAATTAAAATGGAGGTGATTATATGGTAATATATACAGGCTACTTACAGGTTTACACAGATATCAACACTGAATGTACAAAATGATATGTACAATTGGGGTTATGTAGCATTTGTACAATTAAAGTAAACTAACTAATTCACTAACTAGGTAAAAAAAGTTTTGGGTTATCCAATGGATAAAAGCTAAAGCAAATACGTAACATCTCATGTTACTATAGTTTAAAAGTTTTCAGAGTTTATGACCGTAGTGTTGTATCTAGCATGGAAGTTATCTGCCTCTCTTCTTACATCGGTATCGATACCCGAGGATATGTCACTGCCGTCGTCATCCTGGGTATTACTGGTAACTTCTACCAATGGTGGCGATACCCATGCGGTCCTTGTCGCCTGAGAGGAGGGTGTTGAGAGTTGGTCTTGTGTGGTTTCAGCAACCAAGATCGTATGACGTGGGATCTCATCAATGGGTGTAAGACAATCCGAGGGGGGGTCGTACAGTATGATAAATTTTGTCTTGGACTCTTTGCGCCGGAAAACGTAATTAGCGGTTCGTCATCGGAGTCTACTGGACTAATGGTCTCCGTTCCGAGAGTCACTTGGTCGATAAACCGCCTGTCACCGTAGAATTTCGGGGGGCCTGGGTTTCTTCTCACACGAAGTTTTGAGGGTATCGGGGTCTTTGGTGTCTCCACTGTCTTCTCCGGAGAGCTATCCACTCGAATTGGGTCGTCACTTGTGCCCGTTGGTAAAGTGACCGTTGTCTGCGTATTTGTCTGGCTTTTTACGGTACTCCTTGGCTGATCTATATCACTATGAAGGTTAACAGTCGGTGTATTACATACAGTTTCCGCTTCCGTACCCAAGTAGTCATCAATAACTTTATCCCAAAGTCTAACTCTAACAAAGAATCTAGGTTATTAAAGTCGAATTTTGAACCTTTCGAGCTCGTGATGAATGTTCTCCTCTTTTTGCAAGTATTTCCACCCGTTGGTGTGTAACTCGTCGAAGGGCCTCATATATTTGAATCTCGTCTCTTGGAAGGGGAGTTTTTTTTCGCTTGCCTGCTAAATCATTACTATTAATTAGCGAATTCGGTCTTGCCGAAAATGTCTTAGGAGCTGCCGGTTGGGTTTTGTTAAAAGCTAAGTCAGATTTTCTTATCACATGTCCGTTGTCTAATGTGACTGTATGTTTCGTGTCTGACAAAGGTTTACTCCCCAATGGTTTAAAATACGGTTCGCCTTCCCTCCTGTTAACTGTTTTCCTAAACTAGTTACCTCCTTGGCTGAAAGGATTTGACAGTGGGGCTCGCTGGAGATTTCTATCTACTTTGTCAGCAGGGTCGCTCTCATACCCTCTTTCATCTATTGCTCTGTCTTCCAGATAGCCATCTTCGAACGCGTCGTCAGCCCCCCAGTCTTGTGCTCTGTCCTTCGTTAAGATTGATTTCCCCTTATCTAAACTAATTGCGCGAGAGACCAAATATTTCCAGAACATGTTGGGAGATCTATTAAAATGTTTTGAGAAAGGGGAGCATCCAATGGATGATTGTTTCGTCGAGCGTATGTTCCAAATAATTTTATCAATAGCCGTATTTAAAGATGGTTTTGGATCGTTGAACGACATTGCCAGAAGCTTAGCTTTGACAGTGTAAATGAGTCTTTCTACTACTCCATTAGATCTATGATCACCAACCGTACATAGGATTAAATTAATGTTGTTCTTCTCACAGAAGTTTCTAAAATCAAATGAAGTAAAACATGACCCATGGTCAGCTCTAATGGACTTTGGAAATTCGTGAAGATGGCAGTAATCTGTCATGAAGGTTAAAATTGAAGAAGTCGATGTGTTGTTTACTACCTTCGCAGACGGAAACTTTGAAAAGCGATCAATGCATAACAAAAGGTATTTTGCGTTACCCCAACTCTTGTCCAATGGGCCTGCAAAGTCTAAATCTACTTCTTCATTTGGTTCGGTAAGAATCGGTAATTTTTCAGTCTTTTTCGTCCCTAGTAACACTTTTAGGTTCTTACCGGCCCTTATACACTGAGTACAATTCTTTCCATGATGGTATATCTCTCTGTATAAGTGTGGCCACCAGATGTTTTCTGCCATGGCTTTCATCCCGAACTGCCCTGGATGAGTCTCGTGAAGGAGTGACAGGAATGGTGATCGTAATGCAGCCGGCACTATCATTTTGTTATCGTTGAATAACAGTCCTTCTTTCACGTGAATGTCCCTCTGGAAGTTCTTTAAGTAGGCTCCGAATTTGTCCAATGGTTTGCCTTCCTGTACCGCCTTCTTTACCTCCTTGAGGATTTTATCTTCGTCCGTCATGAGTTTAATCAGCTTATTTGAGCAATGATCTGAGAGTGATAACTGGTTGTCAGGCAATCTGAGATCTCCCTTGTACTTGGCCAATAATTTCTTGTGTAGGTCTGACATTATATCGTTATTAAAATTCAAAAAGAATCCTTTCTTTTCTGCCCTGAGGTAAATTTTTAACAAGTTGACCGATGTAATAAATTCTTGTAACTGTTTTTTTTATCTGAATTTAATGACCGATTGATTATTAATACTGATTGGGCAAGAAAGAATAAAAAAATTTTGTCTGATAAGTGAAAGTAATTGAAATCAAATTTTGATAAATTTAATGGAACACAACCGCTTGTGCAAGACTCTGAACGCGAGTGATTGGAATTACAAATTCTGATAGTGTCGTTTACGTAATTCAGAATATTCGAGAAGAACGACCGTTGGATGCTTTGCGATAAATCTTTCTTTCCACCCATTGGATTATTACAATCCAAGTTACTGATCGTATTTACATCCAATGGATTATACACTTCGTTCTTTTTACAATTATTTTTCATACAATCGTTATTTACAGAGAGGTTTTCTACAATCTTTTGTACTGTGGCCACTACAAATTCGCTATCATAGTGTGATGTAGGGAGTGCTTTTCTTGAAGGTAGTCTCGACAATAAGTCTGTAAATCCCATTTCTTTTCCCGGAATGTGCTTGATCTTGAAATTAAATGGTAACAGTCGACTTACCCAACGGGTTAATCTGCTATGCATAGTTTTGTTGCTCTGATTTGCATTTAATGCTGATAATAATGCCTTATGGTCCGTCACAATTTCAAATTCAGCACCAAACAAGTAATTTTTAAAGTGTTCTGTAGCCCAGACTACTCCCAACAATTCAAGTTTGTTTGTCGAATATTTACTTTCGTGGTTGTTTAAAAATCGGGAGGCGAATGCTATTGTTACCCAATTTTCTCCATCCCATTGTTCTAAGGTAGCTCCTAAGCCGTTATGAGAAGCGTCTGTCTTTAGTCTTGACATCCTTTTTATGTCGAAATGGTTATTCTCTGTTATGTTCACTATCTGTTGTCTTAATTCTTCAAATGCTTTAGTATGTTCGTCATTCCATTGGTAGACTGATTTCTTCACGAGAAGTGGTCGTAGGGGAGAACTTAGAGCAGACAAATTTGGGACGAATTTCATATACTGATTGATCGACCCAAAGAAAGACCTAAGTTCAGATATATTTTTGGGGTTTGGTAGGTTTTTAATCGAATCTGACTTTCCCACCAATGGTTTCACGCCCGAGTTTGATATCTTGAAACCTAGCCACTCTATTTCTTTTTGGAAGAAAGCACATTGCTCCCATTTTACCGCCATATTCTTGTTGTCCAAAATGTTTAAAATGTTTGTTAGTATCGCTTTGTGTTCATTTAATGAACCTTTCGAAGCTATTAAAATGTCGTCGATATAACAATTGGTAAAAGGAATGTCTTTCAATAAGGAATCCATCACCCTCTGGAATTCGTTTGGCATATCGCCCAATCAGTAAAATCTAGTTAAAAACCTATAGGTTCCAGTGGTTTTGCCCCCCACGATACCAAAATTACACTGTTTGCTAGTGTCTGTGCATAATTGTAGTTGGCTGTACGCGTTCCTTAGATCTAGACTACTAAACCAAACTTCCCCTGACTCTTTGCTTGACAGTTGGAGTGCAAAATTATCGATCAGT